GGGAAGGTGAGCATCATGGAATGCCAGTTTAATAGAACAAAGTATTCTTGCATTGAGGGAGTACTTTAGTAGAGGCCCAATGTCCATCTGCTACCTTAATACTAAACCTATAAATAGATGCACATAGATCTGCAATGCATCTGTTCAAGGATTTTAATGGCTGTCCTATGAGAATTTCCTTGGGAAAACTTACCCCCATTTGCCCGACAGCCCTGAAACTGCCCCTGCAGACTTCTTTTTGTTCCCGAAACTCAAAGAATATTTAGAGGTAAATGATTTGAATCTCTCAAGGATGTCAAAACTGCCATTTTAATGTGGTGTAAATTAAAGAGTACAAGATTCTTCACGGAAAAGGTTACGGAGATGGAAACATTGCCTTGGGAAAAAATATTCTCACAATGAGATAGTTTATTTAATAAATATTTCTATGATTTTACTTTTTGACTTACCCTTCTACCAGGGCAAATTTAGGTTTGTAATCGGGCTTTTTCAATGAAAAAATAGCCTCATTTCATTATCTAACAATTAAAGCAACTAACAGTGAACACACTTCCTATAATTTAAAGCAGTGTGTTTTGTTTAAACAATTGAAAAATTTAAGTCATTGGTTTGTGAAAAACTTTTTAACTTACTAGTTCATAGATTTCTAGCAAAAGATGTTGACGGTAATAGTTTATATATTTTTAAAGAGATTTTAATCGTTTATAAACAGGGGCTATAAAAAGGAAAATTCTGTTTGAAAAATATTTATCAAGCAAACTATAAATATTATATTTAGGGAATAAGTAATAAATTCTTAATATTTATCGGTTACACTTAAAAATTCCTGTATATGAAATGGAAATTTAAATTAGGATGCCTCATTAAGGAATACATTAAAAGTACAAACAAAAGATGTCATTGATTTAGACCCTTGATGAACAACTTGGTCAAATGTACTTCACTGCAGATATTACACTGCAGACTTAAACTGCTATCTATAACAATTTTGGGTTGAATTTTTTTGATAGACTTAAAATGAATTCCTTAGGCCTGTCTGGATAGGACAGGCTGGAGGAACAATCTGGAGGAGAAAACAACGGGACTGACAGTTCCGGGGGGACATGGGAGAGGGGGAGGAGGGGGGAAGGGAAGAAGA